ACCCCCTGGGCTCTCCTCCAGAGCCAGCCCACGAGTCCTCAGTCCTCATCAGATCCTTCATCTCCTGCGGCTAAGCTGGAGGCCACAGAAAACCCAGAGGGTGGTGGCGAGGAGGAGATGCACCAAAGGGCTGAGGAACACATCCCGCAGCGTTTGCACAGAGCTCGCTGCCAGGCTGCGCCTCGGCGACCGCGGTGGTTCAGCGGCGTGTGCAGCTGGTGGGCACTGGGGAGGGGGGGAAAGGCCTGTGCACTTGCCACTTCAGCCAGGTCTTCCAGTGCCCCCCCAGCACGTCCTGTCCGTGCTCGGTTCTGTTCTGAAGACCTTGCAGCCAGAGATGCTCAGCGGGCAGTGGCAGAAGGGACATGTTGCCCATCAGGCTGAGTGAGACAGTGCTGATGGCCTCTTGGAGGTCCTGAAGAGCTCCTGGAACGAGTCTTTGGATAAATCCCTGGCGCTGTCCTTCCTCATGGCGGAGATCAGCCGGCTTCTCACCCACTGCAGCCGGGAGGGGTTTGAGCACAGGTACAGGACCTTCTGGGAGCTGGGGGACAGCTGGATCGGGCCCTGCGTGGAGGTGAAGCTCTAGCAGTGAGCAGGAGCTGAACTGGCCGCTCCGTGAGTGGGCCGTGGGGAGCAGTGGGGCAGCAGAAGCACAGGAGGCCTGTTGGTCCCTCCACCCGTGTTCCAGCTTCCACCTTTGCTACCCTCAGCCTGTCACTCCCTCGGGGCTCAGCTCCGAGGGGGCAGTTTGAGCTGCTTATCTGCCGAGGGAGCGTCGCCTCTTGCACGAGGCAGCTGAGGAACCGGACCGGGAACTCCGGATTGCTCTGGAATGGGTAACCAGCCGCTGACCTGGCTAACAGGAGACGTGGCTGGGAGCCAGCCGCGGGTGGTGTGGCATGGGAGGTAATGGTATAATGACGTGATAAATGTATTTGATCTGTGGCCAGCGCCTGCAGGTCCTTCCAGCATCCAGCTGCGATGTGTTGTGCAACAAAGGCAATAAATTTGCCTTGGATCGCTCTGGGGGAGCCGCGTCTGTCTCTGTGCCAGCTGTGGCCGCCCCTCCCT